CGCGCTCCCGGGGTTTCGTGTTGCGCCGGTTGGCAGTTTGGGGTGGGGGGGGGGGGGGGGGGGCGTACTCATTTGTTGCTTGCCGTAGTCATTTGACCATTGACCACGCGTCCCTTTCGAGACGGAGCACCGTTCCTACCCCTACTAGAGACACCACCAACATTTGGGAGCTCTTTACGTTTCTGCCACAAACTACATAAAAATTTCTTGCACATCTTATCCCCGTCCTCTAGGGCCTCTTGTGCCCACCATCTATCCCCAATTGTCGCGATCGTTTTTTCGCTGTTGTCTAATTTACCAAACTTGTCCGTGTCACACCCTCTCTGTCTCATTTCCTCCTCGAGATCCTCTCTCCTTCCTGTACAACTCACACTCCCCAACTAGGCACGAAAAGCTATACAAGTCCCTGGAGATGGAGATAGGGGAGGGGGCAGGTGCGGGCGATGGTAAAAATAACTGTTGTTTTGGGGCTCTCGATTTGGTGCTGCTTGACTACCCCCTCCCCCCCGTCTGTGTGGTTGATTGATCGACCATCCGAGGGCCGACAACACATCGGTCGCAGGACTGTCAGCGGAGAGGAAGGCCGGGCGCACACGTGCAGAGTTGTACGGGTGCATTCTAGCGCGTGTCATACCCGTGTGGAGTGTGCATGCAATCCCTGTTTGCCTTTCGGCGGAGTGGAGCGGAGAGTGTGGGTCTGGACAACTAAAAACGCTTTATGGGTTGAATGTTTGCGTTTGTTGCGTAGGTGATTATTACGCGTGTCTTCTGCGCTCGTTTGGTTTGAGAGGGGGAGCTGGTACGCCTTGAGCGTTTGCGCGCGTGCGTTGTTCGAGAAGGCGCTGCAAAATATGTGCTGATGTACCCGGTCTTGCGATCACGCATCATTGTTGTATATGTTAGAGCTGTGCGTTTCGATGGGAAAGGCGGGGGAGGGGCGCCTCGATTTGCTGTTGGTCCAAACCGAACACCTAAACCGAACACCTGGAAAGAGAAGCCGAAGAACCGATCTTGGTACAGGACGAAGCCCTTTGCAGGCAGCAACGACTTGGTATCAATGAGATAGGCGCCCTCTGCGATGGAATCATGTGAGCAGGGTTGCTTTTAGACTTTCATCTGAGCAGACGGTCGACGGAGAAACCATGGCAGCAAATGTTGCACAATTCCCCGGAGGGAGGGAGGGAGGGGATGAGGGCGACGGGGGAATGGTTGCAGTAGCCTTGACAGGATTTTTTCGTTCAGGAAACATGTTGGATAAAGCACACAATCGGTGAAGTTGGGTTAAGGTGAGGGGAGTAGGATCTGCGTATCCCCTCCCTGTTCTATTTCCTCATGAACTTGTTGATCTCGCGAGGGCGGTCCACCAATGGTTGTAAATAGTGTCGCGGTCTCGATTTGGGCGAACGAGAGGGAAGAGGTCAGTCTTGCGTCGGATGCACGCGTGCGTTGTCACGTACGCGCGCATGCACGTGTGTGTGCCATGCCCAAGCGTTCAACAAGTCTTCCTGTCTTGGCGTAGAACGTGAGCGCAATTAGTTCTTGTCTGGTCTTTTGGTGAGGTGAGGTGAGGTGTGAAGAGTGTGGGTCTGGGGGAATCGAAATACTTCATGGGCTGTATTGTTTGCGTTCGCGTGGGTGAGTGGTGGTATGCGGTTGTGTCTGCGGCGCTAACTTTGTTCGAGAGGAGGGCTGTTTTGCCTTGAGCGTTTGCGCGCGTGCGTTGTTCGAGAAGGTGCTGTAAAATTCCATGTCATTGTACGCTAGACCAGTCGAAAATCTGATAAAATATGAAGTACTAAATACTATAGAACCGTGAGCTTGGATGCAACTCGGGCTGGAGGCGTGCCTCGGTTTTCTGTTGGTCCGAAGCAAGCACCTGGACAGAAAATCTATTCTCCAGGTGCGCGGTTTTATTGGCTGAACGTTTGCGTTTTTAGTGGGTGTTTAGTACGCGTGTAAGCTGCCCTTGTTTCGCTTGAGAGGGGGAGCTTTTGTTTGCCTTGAATGCTTTTCGCGCGCGTGTTGTTCGAGAAGGTGTCGTAAAATGTAAAATATGTGCTTGTGCACCCCGACCTTAGGAACACGCATGGTTGTACGGCATAAAAATACTCTAGAAACGTGAGTTTTGATGCAACTCGGGGTGGGCGGGGGGGTGGGCGGGGGAGGAGTGCCTCGGTCTTCTGTTGGTCCAAACCGAGCATCTGCAGGCCTTGGTATGTATCTACAGGATGAAGCCTTCCCCCACCGCAATATTCAACGCAGACACATTCACAAAGCCGGCGGGTCAGCTTGCAGGGCATCAGATACAGGGCATGCAGCTCTGCCTTTTCTCTTAAAAAGTTCGCCGCTGTGGCCATATGGAACCTGTGTTGAGCTTGCCCTCCCGTACAGAACCCTCTTCCCAGGCAGCAAGTAGTCCATACCAACGCCACACATGCCCTCCGGAGTGGACTCATGTGAGCAGGTTGCCGTTAGGCTTGCGTCTGAGCACGGTTGGTTTACAGATGGGTCGACCTAGAGAAGCATGGCAGGAAAAGCGACACGCAAGCCCCTGGAGATGGGAGAGGCGGGAGTTGTTGCGTCGTGTTGTCGATTTTGTGGTGGGCGACTTCCCCCCCGGTCGGTGTTGTTGGTCGGCCGGGTCTCGCGAAGAAACCACTGCCGCAGGACAGGTCGGCGGAGAGGGAGGAGGTCAGTCTTGTGTCGGGCCCACGTGTACGTCTGTCGCTTGCGATTGCGTGCGCGCGTGTGTGCCATGTCCCGTGCGCGAACAGGACTTTCTTGTCTTGGGGTGGAGTTTCCGTGCAATCCTTTGTCTGTCTGTCTTTTGATCTTGGTGCGGGGAGCGTGAGCTTGGGGTATAGCCCATGGTAAAATTATGCTGAATGTTTTGCGTTCGCGTGGGTGATGAATTTGCGTGTCTGCTGCGCTTGTTCCGTTCGAGAGGGGGAGCTGGTTTGCCGTTAGCGTTTGCGCGCGCGCGTTGTTCGAGAAGGTGTCGTAAAATATGTGTTTGTGCACCCCGACCTTAGGACCACGCATCATCATTGTACAATGAAAATAATGAAATGCAGTAGAAAACGTGATGCACCTCAGGGAGGGGTGCCTCGGTTTTCTGTTGGTCCAAACCGGACACCTGGCGAAAAAACGAAGACCAGCTTTCATCCCGCAGGCCTCGGTACAGGACGAAACCTTTCTAGGCAACAGGATTGGGGAGAAAGGGTAAAGGTGCACTCCGGAGTGGACTCATGAGAGAACAGGGTTGAAAAAATACACAAGAACAGCTGGCTGCCCGCTGCGACGTTGTCGAAGCTCGAACAGCCCACACAGCTGACGTGAATAGGCCCAAGGAGTCTAGCGAACCACACCCGACCAAACAGAAAATAATCCAATCTGTAACCGTCTCCAACAAAATCCTACCATAACACGCTGCCCTTTCGTGTAGGTTGTTGACCCTAACGTGGCATCCGCCTACAGATGAGACCCTTGACAAAACGACAAAAAGGATGGTAACGAATGGCAGGGACGGCCACCATCAAACCAGGCTGTAACGCCTTGGCTCTGTTACCACGGCAATAGAGCAAAAACAGCGCAGTCGTGGAGATGGTGCGCGACATGAGCGCTCGCCGCTCTTGCCGTTGCTGCTGCTTGACGCGCACCCCCTCGCCCGCCCGCCCAACCAACCTCATCTGCTCCAAACATCAGTGAAACGCCCCTCGACGTCGCCAGGAGGTAAGCATCCGGGGGGGGGGAGGGGGGCCCGAGAACGCCAGCAGCCTCTTTCTAGAGCAGCCACAAGTACAGGCGTCCTCCAGGAGCATACAATAGTTTCACCCAGCGAAAAAATAGTCAACCCTGCGCCACCGGATACGGAGGAGGCTGATGCAGCAACAGCGA